AATTTGTGCCAAAAGCCAAGCAACAGTGTGCTGCAAGTTGATCTCTAAACAAGGATTCTCCATATATGGGATCTCACCTTGAGCTTAGCTCTGCAAAACTCTCAAGCGGGGGAGGAACACCATGTCCCGAAATGTGAATTCCATACTTCTTACGCAGAATAGAAGCTTTCTGAAGCAGGAAACAAAAATTTTAAGGTATGAAAACAAAAAAGAATCATTCAACAAAAAATAACAAAACTAGACCAAAATCACCTCAATCTCCTTTTCCACGTCCTTCTTCATCTCAGCAGAAGTAACCTCCAAAGCATTTCTTTCTAGAATAGAGGACAAAGACTCGGAACTCTTGAACACACTGAACCCCTCCACAGCATCTCATACACCAAATCCCAAACAAGATTATGACATGTAAACGAAGCTCGCATCACACAAAAGGTGCGTGTAGGTAAGCCAGAGATGCAACCAGAAGAGTCCTTATCCTTGCGCATTCGCTTCTTCTCCTTCTTGTTCGCCTTCACCTTCAGCAAGGTGTCCGGCGCTGCATCCGCTATGCCCTCAAGATCATCCGGTTCTTTCTTCGGCTGCTGCAACAAAGAACAAAGATTCAAGGATTAAAGTCAATCCAAACAGGGAATTGGTTCATAGACCAGCACAAATTAACTAAAAATAGACTAAAAAATAGGTTAACTGTATACAAGTAGTCTTGTCTGACCAAACCATAATTAACTAAAATTAGACTAAAAAAGAGGCATTAATGTTGAAGATTATGAGAATTAAAAAATATGATAATTGGGATATTGTCATGAGAATTGCAAAACTGAACAATTTTTATAAACAGCCTACAAGGCTGGTACTTTTATATAAAGAAAATGTGCAGACATTTGTGCTATAAAGAATCACATAAAATATATAGTAAATAATCAATACAAGAAAAGATGAAAGAAAACAACCACAAACAAATGAAACATTTACCAAATTAAATACCTCATCATGAAGAACTGCAGATGACCAAGAATATAAAATACAACAGTAAACAATTTCAATGGTCAAAATAACCTTAAAGCTTCATCACACAAAATACAGAGCTTAATATATCATAAACCTTACCACCATGGGTTTTTATAAATAAAATGGATGATCTCCAATGGAATAGTTTAAATAACTCCATAAAAGAGAGCAAACATATATATAAACCATGCTACTCCACATCAAAACCAATACTTTATTTTAGAAGTAAATAACTACAGTGTTATTGGTGCCAAGTCTATGTACTATAAATTTAGACACATAAAAAACTGCAAGCAATAGATCAATAAACGTATCATGATTAGAGAAGCTACAAGCTCCAAGGTCTAAAATCCCCAAGCTAATCTGGATGTCTACCACCTCAAAGCTATCAGAGACCAAATTCGCAAACAAGAACCATGAAACAACCTACAATCCTTATAAAACAGGAAATCAGATGCAATTAATATACTAAATCAAGCATCAAGAACAAGGCCGCCCCTAAAACCATTGCAGATCTACCTGATCTAATGGTTTCCACTACAAACAACCAATGCTTATACCCACCATATCCGTCTCTAATCATGATCCTTGGTGCAGCAGCAGAGCTTGCTATGAAAATCTGTGACCAAAAGAATCTATTCAAAAGAATCCTTGTACCAACACTTCTCTGCACCAAGGATCAAGAATTTGCGATAGAATGGCCACTATAGGACAGGAAACAAGCGAATGCAAGAGATCACCATCGATGCAACTATAGAAAACCCTCGTTGATCGCCACATTCGTTTTTAGCCTCTACCAAGGAAGCTAAGCTAATGATGGTGTCTACGGCTAGGTTTTCACTACCATCGAGGAAGCGGTGGTCATGAAATAGACCATAAGAATCTTTACCAAAGAATCCCTATACCGAACTATCTTTGGACCAAGGATCAAGAACTTATGATGGAACGATGACAATAAGGATGGAAGCAAGCAAAAGCATGCCATCGTCATCGAAGACCGATGCAACGAGAGAAAACCCACCTCCGCCTCGTCCATGAAAAATAGACTAAAAATAGACTAAAAAAGAGGCATTAATGTTTTGTCTGACCAATAGACTAAAAATAGACTAAAAAATAGACTAAAAATAGACTAAAAAATAGATTAACTATATACAAGTAGTCTTGTCTGACCAAACCATAATTAATTAAAAAT